GAGGGTGGGTGGGTGTGGGGTAGAAGGGGTCAATGGGGAAAAAAGAGGACATCTGTAATACTTTCAACAGTAAAGATAAAAAAATAATATAAAAAATAAAAGGGGGATTAGAAATCATGGTAACATTTAAACATTTTTTTTTCTGTAAAAACTATCAACATTCATTCATATATTCAACAATTATTTATGGAGTATCTGTTTAAGGTGTAAAATGATTTTGGAAAAGTGGTGAAGGTTGAACAACATTGTGAGTTATTTAATGTTACTGAATTTTTAACACTTAAAAATAGGTGAAGTGGCAAATTTCATGTCATATATATTTTACTACAACTTAAAAAAGTAATATTGCAATATACCAAAAATATGAATTATACACTTTAAATGGATGAATTATATGGTATATGAATTATATTAAACAAAGTTGTTTAAAAAAAAAAAAGGCCTAAGTGCCCTGCTCCTGCTGGTAGTGTTTCTTGGAATGTAATATCACTTATAATCCAGAGATGATCACAGCTGCCCTTGTCCCTAATTTCTACCTTACTCATTTGAATGAGAAATCAGTCACACAGATCTCTAACTTACAAATTGAACTTAATAAACATGTCATATTCTGAATTCATCCACCATGCCAATAGTTATCTGTCACTTATGTGTCAGGCCCTGACCTGGGCCATAAGCTCAGAGTGAGGGACTCTGGAGAGACCAAAAAGAGGATTACAGCACAGCCATGGGAGGGTCTTATAAAGCGAAGCAGTAAAGGGCAGAATGGGCCAGTAGAGAAAGGATCCTAGCCCTGCCAAATGGGTGGAAAGGCTTTGGTTTAATATTTGGGAGAAAGGAATCAATCCACTGTCATTTTTAAACTCTTATTCATATAATTCAGTTTTCGGGATCATGTGACCAAACAGGAAAATGATCATGGCAAAGAAAAATTCCCCCTATTGCCCAGCTGTGCGTGGCTCAGCGGTTGAGCATTGACCTAGGATCCAGGAGGTCCAGGTTTGATTCCCCATCAGGGCACATGCCTGGGTTGTGGGCTTCATTCCCAGTAGGGGGCCTGCAGGAGGCAGCAGATCAGTGACCACTGTCTCATCACTGATATTTCAACTCTCTCTTCCTCTCTTTGAAATCAATAAAGATATATTTTTTAAAAAAGAAAAATTCCCCCTATTTTAGCACAAAACTTAAAAAATGTAAATGAAAAGGGTGGAAAAACAAATTCCATTTATTTTCACTGATGAGGACAATGTCATTCACTTGAAGCCTTTTACAAGTCTTCAAAGAAAGCTTTTTGAGTATCTAGTGACTACCCATCAGCAGAACCTTTTAAAATCCCTTCCCTTGCAACCCAACACCTTTGTTTCAGAGCATGCCTTAAACATTAAAACGTTTCTAACCCCGGCTGGAATTTTGCATTAACGTAGGTTTAACCGTATTGGAGACTGCAGTGGTTTATCCAAGCCAAACCTAATTAACATTTTTTTAAAAAAAATTTTGTCTTTTTAAAAAAAAAATTATTGTTGAAAGTACTACAGATGTCCTCTGATTTTAAAATTACTAAGATACTCAGAGTTCGCTTTTCAGGAAAAGCTCTAGGTAAGGCGATCCACAAGGCAGGCCACTCCTTAACAAACAGGTGTTGACACTGTCCCTGGAGATGCACTGGGACCTACAACGAAGGAGATCGGGAAGTTCCATGAACCAAGTATTCCCAAATGCTGGCGGAGGTAGAAAAGCGAGAATCACTTCTAAGGAGCATTGCGCAAGGTATATACACTACAAGCCCTGTGAAGGAGTCACTGTAAACAGTGATGCTCAAAAACCAGACGGAGCACGGCTAACAAGCTGCTTTTGTAACAGCTAAAAACTAGAACTCCCCTGTCTGTTCACCGTCAGGGGGGGATCCTTTAAGTCAGTCACAGCCCCGTCACTCAACAAACTGAACGTGGAGCCCGGGCCGGACAACGGCCAGATGCGGGTCAACCTGACACGCGCGATCGCCGTCGAGCGCGGGCACGGCCAGGAACGCGGAAAAGCAATTCAAGCCGCGGGCGGCGCCCGCGCTGTACAAAGGAGCCAAGTTACTGCACTTTCTGATCCAGGCGCTGCACAGACCCGGTCTGGCCGCGCTTACTAGGCAAAGGAAGGCAATTCAGCTTAATGCTAACCCGGGCTGTCTCCGGGGTGCAGGGGCTCGGCTCTCCAGCTTTTCTGTTCCGCGTTTTCGACGGCGACGAGTACTAACTTTAGAGTTGGGGACGTGGCCGGAGGCTGGAGCGGCGGGTCGCAGGGCCTGGCGGGCCCGGGGTCCCCGCCTCC